AATGACAATAATGCCTACTACCTAGGTATTATGGGGAGTTATAGAAAATGAGTTAATATATGTAGAATCCTTTGAACATTCCTGGCATGAAGTAAGTGCTGTGTTATGTTTTGCTAAATAAAACATAAATGAAAATCTAGGCCAACCATCTGAATCATGCAGCCCTAGATAGGATACTTCTGCAAACTGCCTAAGGGCACATGGAGTAGCCCACAGGAGGGTCATTTCTGCCTACCCATGGGCCCCTGCTGCAGTCCTTCACGCTCCTAGCTTGGCATGATATCTTCTGAGGGTGCTATGACCAGACCTGGGACTTGTCTTGTAGGAATCCCTGCAGCAGCAGCAGCAGGAACAAGAGGAAGTCCTCAAGCAGTGTCGTGAGCAGCATGCTGCCGAGCTAAAGGTGCTTCTCACATGATGGTGTACCTCTCTCCCAGCAGTGACAGGCCCTTGGGGGAGGACAGAGGCTTCCCAAGCTGAGGCCTGAACTATTCTCTGCTTTGCAGGGCAAGGAGGAGGAGCTACAGAGTGTGCGGGATCAGCTCCAGCAGGCCCAGGAGGAGCTGGACTGCCACCTGAAGACCATCAGCATCCTGAAGCAGGTAAGCCATCCCTCCATGGCCCCAGCCACACCACTGGGCTGTGGCAGGGAGCAAGGAAGTGGCACCTGCCAGCTTTCTCTCTTCCACAGGAGGTGAAGGACACAGTGGATGGACAGCGGATCCTGGAGAAGAAGGGCAGTGCTGCGGTAAATGGGGGTGCCCAAGAATGGCTTTCTCCTGGCCTGTGGCCTCCCACCTATGGGCTTGTTGGGCCCCAGCCCTCATTTTCCTCCTGTTCCCCCACAGCTCAAGGATCTCAAGCGGCAGCTGCACCTGGAGCGGAAACGGGCGGACAAGCTGCAGGAACGGCTACAGGACATCCTTACCAACAGCAAGAGCCGCTCAGGTGATGGGCCAGGACAGGCAGGGGAGGCTGAGACTGTGGGAGGTAGGGCTTGGGCCTGTGGGCCAAGAGACCTTCCTACCCTCCCTCACCTTCCTGTACTTCCCTTGGCTCTGTCTCTCTTGAACTCAGTCTGTCTTTTACCTTTTTCTGTCTCTCCTCTATTTTTTTTTTTTGAGACGGTGTCTCACTTTGTTGCCCTCAGTAGAGTACTGTGGTGTCACAGCTCACAGCAACCTCTAGCTCTTGGGCTTAGGTGATTCTCTTGCCTCAGCCTCCTGAGTACCGGGGACTACAGGCACCCGCCACAACGCCTAGCTATTTTTGTTGCAGTTTGGTTTGAACCCACCACCCTCTGTGTAGGGCCGGCGCCCTACTCACTGAGCCACAGGTGCTGCCCTCTGTCTCTCCTCTAATTCTTCCTCTACGTTGTCTGGGTTTTCTGTGTCTGTGTCCTTTTTGGGATGTCTTTTCTCTGTTTCTATCTCTCTGCCTCTGTCTCACTTTGTTCTCTGTCCTATTTGCCTTTATCTTTCTGCTTTCTTTCTCTAGTCCTCTTTTTTTCTCCTCCCCTTTTTTTCTTCTCTATGTCCCTTGATATCTCTACCTCTGTGTCTTTTTTCTCTGTCTTTGGTATGTCTCTGTCTCCTTACTGTATGTACTACATATACATTCCCACACCACATTTGGTGTTTCTAAATCTATTGTATTCATTCTCTTATTCTATAAATCTCCATGTTCAAGTCCAGGGTCCCTGATCTGAAACCCACTATGTCCCTGCCCTTCAGGGGCTCCCCATTGAGCTAGGGAGACAGACTTACACACAGAAAGTAATGCTGCAATGTTTTTATTATACAACTAAGCCAACTCATGTTATTTCTGTCACTTAAGGGAAAAGACACACATACAAAAACTGGAGTTGCCTCAGCTTTTTCTTTTTTATCCAGGAATAGCCTATAAATACATTTAAAGAAATAAGATGCAGTAATGGCTCTGGTACATCTCTTAGATCTCAAATTGAGAGAAAACTTGCTCCCTTGTCCCCCTACTCAGGGTACCCATGGAACCCTACCTGCCTACCTCACCCTCACTGGAGTTCCGTGGGGTGTGTTGGCAACCCCCTCCCTGTCACCCAGAAGCAGCCACAAGAGCAGCAGCATAAGCTCAGTGCCTGTATTTTAAGTGAGATGGCAAAACAGATGGAACTCTCACCAAATCAATTCCTCTCTGAGACACTCAGTCTCCTGCAGTAACCTCTCTTTATAAAGGAGGAGTTGTGTTTCTGTTTTGTCACAGATTACTTGGGATTGATTAGAATCATATACCATACTTTTACCTTGTCCATTAGATTAAATTTAGATTTAGGTATGTGGTTACTAGAGTCTGCCTTTATCATTTTTTCTCTCAATATCTGCGGTGACTTGTGTCTTTCTACAGGGTCTCTGTTCATCATCTCGTTCATCTCTGGCTTTCTGTCCCTCTGGGGTTTTCTCTCTGCACATGAGTATGCACCTGGGCCCTCTCCAGCTATCTATCTTCCCTTCTTTGAACCCTGAGTCTGAGTGTTTTTACCACTTAAACCCCATGTTGCCATCTTTCCCTTAGCCCCTTCTGTTTTATTTTTTTCTTTTTCTTTTTTTTTTTTCCAGACTACTATGGAGGTACAGACATTTTGGTTACATAAATTGCTTTTGTACAGTTTGAGTCAAAATTATAAGTGGTAATGTGCATTGTACCCCTTAGGTGTGAATTTACCCATCTCCTCCTCCAGCCTCTTCCATTTTGTCTCTTTTGTTGTCTATTTGTCCCAAGAGGCAGCTCCTTTTTCTATTTCTGTCTCTCCCTGTCCTGCTCCTGCCTTTCCCCATGTCTGGGTGTCTCTGCTTCTTTCCATCTCTGTCAAATCTATTTCTGCCTCTTCCTGCTGGTCGCTGCCCTGGGACCTGGGGTGGGGGCACTGGAGCTCAGATTTCTCTTCCCTCCACTGCCCAGGCCTTGAGGAGCTGGTTCTCTCAGAGATGAACTCACCAAGCCGGACCCAGACAGGGGACAGCAGTAGCATCTCCTCTTTCAGCTACCGGGAG